CTGTAATTCCTCCAAAGTAATGGGTTTGTCTAGAGACTCTGCTTGTTCTTGTGAGATCGTCCTTTTTTGCTTCTTGTTCCATAATATTCTAGCCCTCTGGCGACAATGAACTCTCGTGAACATGTGTAGAACCCCTGGGATGTCCGGACCCCTGGCTATCTGGACCAGTCTGGAAGGGGCATCTAGCCACAACTGCCTTAATCCACCAGGATGGGGAAATCAGACAATCAGAAAAGGCCCTTGGAGACGTCTTTGCTTCCCAACACCAGGATGGCTATTTTCTCCATGCCAAAGAAAAAAGAAAAAGAGAAAAAGAATGGTAATTTTTTCTGCATGTCAACGGAGCCTAAATCTGAACTTGTTTCCAAAAAAAAAGAGTTTGGTCACTTTGGTGGACTTCGGGCTTTAATTGGAGGCTGGAGGGCAAGCTGCATCCTGCACTTGAAAACTGATTCCCCTCCCTCTTTTTAAAAGGGCGATGGGCTTGAGATGATAACATTGTCGAGCTGACCGGCCCCACGTAATTCATAACTATTTTGTTTCATTCGTCTAATGCCACTTGGATTCGAACTCCGGTCTATGAATATCTGATGCACTATTTTTTTTAGGGCCTTTTAACAAAGATAAATGATCGTAAATCCTTTTTGTATTTTGTCACAAACTCCTTTCAATACAATCTCTTTTAAATTCAATAGGATGCTAGGCTACCAGCCGGGCGGCCCGGGTCCCGGGTGGCCAGCCCGTGCAAGGACCAGGGAAGTTCCCAGCAAAAAAAAAAAAAATCAAAAAAATCCAAAAATTCTGAAAAAAAACTATGTTATGCAGACAATAAACTGAACAACTTTTGCCTCAGGGTCACATCGAAATTCTTCACCAAATTTAAAATAAAAATTAAAATTCAAAAATATTTTATTTATTTTTATTTATTTTAATTATTTTGGCCCGGCCGGGCAAGTGACCCCGGGCCAGTCTGGTAGCCTAGATAAGATGTCTTGAATAGATTCATGTACACCTGTTAAAGTACAATATTCATGTTTAATGTTATCAATCTTTACACATGTTATATATTCCGTCTAAATCCGATAATAGTGTTCTTCTTAGTACTTAGAAGTTTCTATACTATATGAATTCTATTTATATGAATTATCTCTATGATTTATATGAATGATATTAACTATTTAGTATATATTTATTATTCTCCATATTATATTATTCTAGAATTATATATTTTTATTTATTTTGATTTCTCTATCTATATTCTAATAAATATATTGTAATTTATAATAATGTAAAAAGGAAATAATAATACTGTGAAACAAAGAATAAGAGGACACTGTTTTGTTTCATTCTGGTTTGTCTGTCTCTTTGCCTGTCTGTCCTTTCATTTTTCTTTTCTTCGCTCATCTTATTTCTTCTTCTACTTCACGTGCTTGCGCTCTTAGTCAATAGTTCTGTGACAGTATAATATTGTCACAGAACTATTCATATATATAAATATATAAATATATAGATATATTATATAATATATATGTATTATATATAATATATAATAAATATATACGTATATACAGGGTAACCGGCGTTCAGGACGGGCCGAACGCCCGAACCCGAACTCCCGAACGCATGGGACCCCTTGGGGATGCGTTCGGCCGTTCGGGCCGAACGCGGACCCAAAAAAAAAAAAAAAAAAAAAAAGTCATAAAAAATATCTGAAAAAAAGATATGTTATGGAAAAAAATAAATTAAACAAGATTTGCCTGAGCATTACATCCGCATTCCTTACCAAATTCGAAATAAAAATAAAATACGGAAAAAAAAAAAGAGAATTAAATTTAGTGAGTGCGCGAGCATGTTTTCGACACCGCGATTTTTCTTTTTTTTTTGGCATAGCTAAATGCCCTGAAAATTTACAGATGTGTACTTCACATAATACAAAACCCACTAAAAAGAAATCTTCTTCGAGGAAAGGACGAAGCAGGTTGCGGCGCCGCAGCGCTCTATGCCCTGACACACGTGCGTTATGTTTTAGGTTTTGTATTCATGCGTGGAGCTCGGCTGCCATGCCCCGGAGCGCTTAGCACGGGGAAGGCGGGTTACTTAGCTTTCGATCCGACAAGGGATCGAGCAAGAGGGACGGGAGCTTGTCCTTAGGCAGAGGGAAGAACGGTGGGTCTTGGGTTGGTGGGCGTTTTCACATATTCACTACCTCTGAACGTGTACGAACTGGTGGAACAGATTCGAGCCGAAGAGCGCTGGCATGGCCGCGTCCTTCTGATGGAACATTAGGAGACTGTTAACCAGCCGGGGGGTTCGGCTTGGTCACTGGGGGCTTTTCAGAGCAGCGGAGACTCATGCTTCTTCATATGTTGGAGCTGGAGCTAGATCGTATTGGAAAGTACTCCTCAGACTCTGGTATCTGGGAGGTGGGTGTAACATGCCGGATTGAGGGGTAATCTCCGCTGGAAAAGAGGGAAATGTAAGCTAAGAATCTTGGATATTTTGTCCTTTTATTGGGCGATTGTATTCGGACGGGAGGGCGGCAGCCTTTTTCCTTCTTAACAGACGTGGGGTGGCGGTATGTGGCGGGTTTCTTGGGTAGTGTTCGGAAGGATACAGGCAGTGCGATGAAAACAGCCAAGGAGGAAAAGGGAGTAAGGTTTCTTAATAGACGTGAGGGGGCGGTATGTGGCAGGTTTCTTGGGTAATGTTCTGAAGGATACGGGCGGTGCGATGAAAGCAGCCAAGGAGGAAAAGGGAGTAGGTGAGACGGATAGAGGCTGAGGGCGAGAGTTGGCAGGGCGAGTAAGGTGATACGGAGAGCGACTGAGTGCGAAAGTTGGCAGGGCGCATTGGTGGAACAATGTGTGGCGGGTGTTCGAGTCTGTGACGCCTCACGAGGTAATCGCCCTTTATCACATCCCTGCCCTATATCTTGCCTCGTGGCCCACTTCCTCCACTGTTCACAAGAGCCTCATCCCACTAACTTCAACCCCCTTTTTTTTCGTCATTTCTTACTATTGATTTTGGCCTTTTCGAGATCACTCCATTTGTATGGAGTGTGCTGCAGCGCCGCATGGTAATAGCCGTGGGGAGGCTGGCAGAATATAATCCGTGAATAGCATCTTCTGAAGGCACTCCATAGCTGCAAGCGAAAACTTATTGGCTACGTAGGAGTTAGAATGGACAAGATAAACTGTTAAGACTAGGTTCGGTGCATAGGGAGGAAATGGAAAAAGGTCAACAAAACAAACAGATTTCCCCTCAAACCTAAGGTTGCAGGGGTGCGACTGAAGAGGAAACATTTTTTGCCAACCATCCAGCGGCGGCCGTGAGTACGGCAGCGTGGCCCTATTCCTGAAAGGAAAGCCATCCGTCAGGCAACCAGCCCAACCATCCGTTATTGAACGATTAACAGTATGAATGTCTCTAATGTGGACCTGTCAATGCATTTACCGCCTGACAACCAGCCACAGTCAGGCGAGGAGCCAACGGGCGTTCCCCCCCCCCACTCAACGACAACAGATGGAATGGGGAGGTTTCACTCCGTTTTGGTAACAACGCCCGCCCACAGATTCAGGGTCAGGGAGAGGGGGAAGAGGGAGAAATAGAAGCATTCAAACTGGGAAGCCTTCCTCCCCATCAGGGAGAGGAAGAGGAGAGTGGAATCAGTGGAGGGAGATGCGGCCAAACAACGGAAGTGGAGAGCTTCAGGGCATGGGGAGTCAGGGCGGTTTTGAAAGGGGAGTAAGTGGAAGAGGGAAAGGCCAGATGCCGAGAGTTAATTGGTGGCCAGTGGAGGATCTGTCGGACGACTCGGAGGACGAGGAGGATGAGGGGGACACTATAGAGGTAGGTAAAAGAGAGGCGGAAGTGCAGCTGGGAGCTCACCAAGCAGAGGAAGGTGGGACAGAAAGGATGGTGGAGGAGGTACGAGAGATGATGGAGAAATGCTTCGATAGGATGGTTCTGCCAGACATGTCCCGATTCGCCAAGTTTGAGACAAAAGGGAATTCGGTCACGATGACCCTCCCACCTGAGGTAGAAAAGGCACAAGTTGAGTGGATGAAGGAGAATGCGGTTGTGGTGTTTTTTCAGGGTAACTTCAAAACTGTTACAGCGAAGAGAAAGGAAGAATGTATCCGTAACTTTGAAGATGCAATACTTCCCCCAAACCTCCACCATAAATAACGTGGAAGGGTACATCAAGAAGGGAAGAACTTGATGTCATATTACCCCAGGGACAGGAAGATTGTAGAACAAATGATTAGCATGAGAAATCATAAAGTGAAAGTTGGTGGCACTACGTACAAAATGACTTTCAGACCCTGGATGACCCAGGATGAGCTGGAAGCAGCAAAG